ATATTTCTGTTAAAAATATTTATATAAGGTCGGAAACACAGTGGTCGGAAAGCAGAAAGATAATCAAACAAAAGGATTTTTCTGTAAAAAAAAATCTAATTTCATTAATAGATACTACCGGACTAAGAGAATATTCATTGTTAAGGTTTAAAACTCAGACTGAATTTATTCCTAATAATTATAGAATATAATTAAAATTGTAACGTATACGTGCATTATGTCTCGTAGGTTTGATCAGTCAATACTTTTTTGAAAATTATATGTAACGTATGAGCATCAATTAGCAAGGATGCGTACCTAAAGTTAGTTAAATATCTAAATTTAAAACGGTCGTGAATGAAAAAATACTTGCTTGGTTTCAATTCACAAGGATTTTAAATCCTTGCATCTCACAAAAAACGTAATTAACATTTTACAATAATCATAACAAAATTTAATTACTATCATAATGTTAATTATTTTTTCTTTGTTTTTTTTTCTTCTATTAGTTCAACCATCTAAATATTTGTACTATGGTACGTTTTGAAAATTGTATTCATTGTGTTGGTCAGCTATCCTACACGTCTTGATTCATTCACATTATATATCACCCTGTTCACACGCACACTATCAGTTTGCGTTCGCAAAAATTCCGGATAAAATGTCAATGAATCCGGAGTCAAAACACTTGAGGTAGGTTGTTTGACATCCGAATTCAACTATTAGTTATATATGTGATGACGCAAATGCGTAATCTTATCCAGAGTATCAGTGCGTATGCTTTCTATTTACTATTCCTTGCGCAAAAATACCACGTTCATGCATAAATATTAATTTCATTCGCGAATGCGAATTTTCGCTTTTCTTATCTAAATTCAGGACACGGCAATAAGAGCTTGCCATGTGACTTTCAAGCACGGTCATCATTGCTTACGGTATTCTGACCTCTAGCTGTTTCTCTTTTGTTTTCTTTTTGGAGTCACTGTCCTTTTATAAACTTTGACATATTCGAAATGCCAAGGATTTTCTACCTAAGGAATAGATTACTTAACTTCGTACTTTATTTGGCCTTTTTAACTAGTTTTATTCGAGCGTCACTAATGATTCTTTGTAGACTTAACTCGCGTCTGGCGTACAACATGTTAATCCTGGTATTTTTTTATATCTACATGTCTTTTTATATAAATTGGTTCTTTTGAGAGTATTTTTCAGGCATTCATAAAACTTCTGAAAATAAGATATTCTTCAAAACCAAGTTTCCCTGAAAAGTATTTGGATTGATTTAACTAAAATCAGGAAATCCTTAAAATTTGAGATGTTTTATGAGATCAAAATAAATCTCTATATAAGAGGTCCAAATGAAGCTGGTGTGTTACTCTCAAGAAACTTTCTTATAAGTTGCATGCCACAGGGTTTCACTTCACATGGAAAATGGACTTTAAATTTATCTGTACGACATTTACCATGAGTACAGATAACTTCAGTAACGAGTTGAGAATATGAAGGCATCCATGCAGGAAACAAAATATAAAGATGTGATAGATAAAATAAATGCATCCAGATTATAAAGCAAACTGAGTGCTTAAATTTATATTGCGATTGGTTTGTGCAATTTGCATTATACATCCGGTTTGTAGAAACTTGGATTTGCAATAGGATTATAAAAAAATGATGTACAATCCCAAGTAATAAATGAAATAGTCGAGCTTTAAAATGTATATTCAAATAGTAGCTGTATATACACTTTTCTATTCACACCTATCCAACATTGCTTTCAACTGACTTGTGCAAGAATGTACACAATATTACATATTTTTAATAAAGGTAGTTTAACTTCATCATTATCTCCTTCTATTCACAGTCAATTATTTCAATTCAAAAGCAAACAAAAATTCAGCTATAATATTTTGGTTACCAGTCAGCGGTCTTAGGTTCACGTATTGATTTTCTTTTTTTAAAGAAAGCAACTTGTTTTACTATATCCACAAAACAGAAGGGGACATCTTTGTATTTAATCAAATTGCTTTATAGAAAATATGCTATAAATTTTTGTGTTACAATTTAATATGTTGTTAATCAAAGTACTTTCAATATATAAATCGTTATGGTGTGTATGTCGAGTGGTCACTGTTTTAATCTTTTGCACCAATGTCGTACATATGTTGTGAAAATAAAAGTTACATTAATATTATATGCAATGATTTAATCAATTTTGTCTAAACACTGACGATTTTCCTACACAACATAGAAATTTTAAGTATTGAATTCGATACATTTTTAAGCTGACATAAAGTTCCTGAAGAAAGAATTCGTTCAGACGAAAATGGAAAATAAATAGCTGCAAATGGATAACAAACGATTGAGAGAAAATATAAGTGACATCAACAAAATTGATGAAGAATTAAAGAAGGAAAAAGAGGCAACAGTGTTGAGAAAATGTAACCCTTCTTTATCATCTCCTGGAAATGTCAAGAGATTATTGTTGCCTGCAGGTAATTTTATCAATCAAGCAACTTAAAAAGTGTAAAGGAAAGTTGTAACTTTTTTTCTGCGTTTTTGCTTTCTTTGATTGATTTGTATGCGTGTATATGTGCTCTTATTTCTCCGATATTCTTTTTACTCTAAGACTTGCGCTAACACTATGAATTTACTATCTACATGTTTCTGTATCTGTATTTACATTTACTGACCAAAAGCTTTATATTACTATTTTCGATTACCAATGAGTTTCCTTTTTCTAATGTATGGTCAATTATAATAAGAAGCCGCAAATACTAATTTTAGAGTCTTTGGTTTGACACGGTTGTAAATCGAGACAATGTACGACCTACCGCACTCAAGGCCTAGAGCGTTACTACGTGACCATATATGTGTTATATACATATGAATTAATGAATTAATGCATAAATATAACTGTATAATTGTAAAAATACAATTGTGTCAATGCATCTTTTACAGCTACTAGTTCGCCTGACCAACAAACAAAGGTAGCATTTACCATTGTTTACAGCAGCTTTAACGCATGATATCAGCCTTGGAGAACTTCAACCTGTTGAATATGGTAAAGCCATCTCAAATATCGGAAATGCTTTTGATGCTCGTCATGGTCATTTTACAGCACCAGTAAAAGGCGTATATATTCTGTCAGGTTCCATTTTTAACGTTAGAGGTCATGACATGCATATGAAATTGGTGAAAAACGGAGTTCAACTTGTCGCTTTCTATGGAGATCCAGATGTTTATTCAATGGGAAGTCAAACTATTGTTATTGCCCTGGAAGCAAACGATATGGTGTGGATAAGACATTTTAAAACAACTGGATCTTCTTCAATTTATGGCAGAACTGAACAACCAATTAACACTTTCTCTGGTGCCTTACTCTTTCAACTTTGAAATCTTTTTAGCAAACCTTGCTTGTTCAAACTAAAGTGCAAGAAGATTGCTTATTTTTGTGGCTATATTTTTATTATTTTTATTTGTTATTCGATATGAATAAAAGGGGCACATAAATATCGGTAGAATATACTTTACGTCATGAACATTAAATTAAATCATATGTATTGATCAGAGGGCATATTCAGGATTTGAGATTTAGGGGACGCAAACGAAAGAGTTTGTGAGGTTTTTATGTATGCCAAAACCAAAAGTATTATTTTCGATTTTAAGGGAGGCGCTCGTTCATTCAAAATTATTGAAAATCATGATAATAAATGTGCCTTGCAACAAGCCACCTATATACGGACCCCTCAAAGAGTTGTTTAGATTTAGTTGCAAAGTCAGTGGCACTTTTGCTACACAATGCACCAGAATTGTCGGCGTTAGTCATATTTATACATCCCACTGAGACAATCGGACCTCCTTGTGGTTGAATATTATCCCCTCAAACTTTAAAACTGGGACCAATTTCCAAGAAGATCCTTCGGAGGGATCAATTGTATTTACTTATAACATTTGTTTAGGTTGAAACTCATAACTGCCAAAATGAATTGGAATGCAACAGCTTCCACTGTATTCATAACGGTATGCCACTGTATCTTGGCGTAATTCTATTCAAATACATAAACCGATTCTAATTTGGAAAGCTGAAAGTCTTGTATTGTTTGCAGCTTTCTCTATACCAACTGTGTAACCTCTACAATGATTGGCTATTCTTGTCGCATTAATTGATTATTTCTATAATTGTATACCGAAAATTTTAAACCTTCACATAGGTTTCAGCCCGCAGACAATAAAAAATTAAAAAGTTAACCGTAGTTGACTTTGGCTATATTTTAGGTCCCTTTTGGTGAAAGACCTCCCAATGTTCTACTTATTTATACTTCCCTGGCTTTCAAATATTAAGTTTGAGCGTAATTCCCGATGAAGGTAAATGCAGAAAAGCGTTTCGGCCGCACAACATTTTTATTTTCATTTCCTTCACGAATCTCGTCCCCTCTTCCTCTATTGTGACATGAATGAATGATACTTATCACCGAAATGGTACTTATGATGAACAACACGAGGGTGCAATATGTAGAACCGGATCTGCTTAGCCTTCCAAGAGGGTATGGATGGGGTCCTTCGTTTCGGTATTCTTTAATTTTTAGGTCATTTTTTCTCTATTCTTTATATCTTTTGTCCATTTTTCATATTGTAGCAACCCATTATTCTTAGTCTTTATTTTTTGTCCTATTTTTCTCTATTCATCATTTCTTTTATCATTATAGTATTGGCCCATTATGCTGTAAAGCCCATCCAGATCCTCTTCCAGAGCACATGAGATGTTGGAGTTCGTGTTGCTTAGTCTTTAGTTTTCTATTTAGTGTTTAGTAGATTTTGGCTTATCTATTACTAGTAGTATTTTTTTAGCCGTGATTTTGTAGGTCTCTATTCAACTAATGAGTTTGGATTAGTTTTCCTTTGAAATCTTACGCCTCTTCTCCGCTTGTCCAATATAACGTTCCCTTTCTCATAATGGCGCCAAATGCACACGACTACAGTTCACAGAAAAGGTAACGTCACAATGCCATATCTTTTTATGCCGTCACGAAATTTGAATGTGCATATGTATCGGTCGGGGTTTGTCCACATCAAAGAAACTCGTCACTGGGCCGTTGATCGGCCTTCTGATACACACATGTTTAAAGGTAAGTTTATACATACATATTCGTCATGAAAAAAAAAACTCTGTTTATTTCGTAAAATTAGTTCAACTTCTAAGACCTCAGAGTACATTATTCTGTAGCGATTTTGTCCGATCTGATAAAGCCACTTGGGGCACTTTTCACTAAAAATCTTACGACAAAAAAATATCGTAAGTTATACTGAAATGTTCATGACTTATGAGTATTTTTTCTCGTAAGATTGTTTGTGAAATGAGTCGCTGAAAGTATTTTATTCTTATTTAGCCGTCTTTTCAAATTCATATTTTGTTTACTTTTTTTATTTCACATTCTAAATCGTACTTACCATTATCAAGGATTGAAAAAATGATAGACATAATAGTAGGAAAGAGAAACAGTGCATGAGGGTCTGAATGGGGTTTAAAGTTTTAATGGGCACGCGATATAACGAACAGAGAAAAGCGACATAAAAAGTTAAAGAATACAGAAAGGAAGGACCCTCGGGCATGGCCATAAGTATTCGTCACGTTCAATTTTTTGCTATAAATTTCATATATTTTGTCATCAGTTGTTTGTGTTTTCTCCTTATGCGAACACATATAATTTTTTTTTTCAACTTAATTCGGTTAAATTATAAATATCAAACAGGAGAAAAAATAATGCTCGTGTTCATAATGAATTATCATTGATATGGTCATAATTATAAATTAACTGTTTACAAAACTTTGAATTTTTGAAATACTAAGGCTTTTCTACCTCAGGAATAGATTACCTTAGCTGTATTTGGAAAAACTTTATGAATATTTAGTCCTCAATGCTCTTCAACTTCGTACTTTATTTGGTCTTTTTAACCTTTTTTTTTATTCGAGCGTCACTGGTGAGTCTTTTGTAGATGAAACGCGCGTCTGGCGCAAATACAAAATTTCGATCCTGGTATCTATGATGAGTTTATTTATCAGATATGAGAACGCTTCGTTTCAAAAATTTAAACAAACAAATAAATAAACCTATGACAATTCTGCCTTCATTGGTACTAACTTAAATAAAATCCAAACAGAAATGACCCCACAATAACTTTTTGAAGAAGAAAATATTGTTTAATGAAATAAATAGCAAAGACTTGTAAGTGATGAATGCTTATAAATGGCAATGGCACTGAAGGACCAATATATAGCCTATTATCAAATTACCGACTTTGTTTCAAATTCTAGATTGTTTTGGGCAAACGGAAACAATTCTTACTAGTCTTAGGTAGAAAAAAAATAGGTTCACGACTATTTTCCCTGCCTATGCAATATAAGTTTATATTTGCGGGGTCTAACATTTACTTTGACTTTCTTATAGTGCATTACACAATTTTGGTAACATGTATGAATTAGTTGGTTTTATAAATAAAATTATGAACAGCTAACGTGCATTAAACTATGATCCTTCGAAAAGTTTTCATTTGCAAGGAATACTGTGTGATGAAGTATGCAAAAGTTTGCAAATCTATTTGAATCGATGATTTAGTGTTACTGACCTTAGAGCATACGATACAGAAAAGGTCTGCCGTTGATTTTTCCATTGAATTTTAACACAAAGTCAAGTTTGATAGGCACTATATTGAAATATACAAAGAAACATATACTATCACAAATTACTTTTCGATATATTTTCGTTTGAATTTTCATGTTTCATGTAAAAACGCAAAATTTCATTTTTTCAATACTTTCCCGAAAAAAATTACGCAACATTCAAACGAAAAGAGCCGGATTTTTTGCAAAGTGTTCCTTAATTTATAAGCCATTAAGACAGCTTCTAAAATGAAGGCTACATGGGATATTCTTTTGAGAAATCATACAATTGTTGGTAATAAAGAGTCGTATACACGTAGACAAATTTCTTGCCAATACAAATGCATATAAGATAAAGTCTTCCTTTGTTTTTTGTTGCAATTCCAATATAACATTTCTGATGAAGTACATAGTTGATTGCAAAAGAAAAAAAAAATGGGGTCAATGTGCTCATATTGAACTAGAAATAGAAAACCTAGTTTTGTTTTTAAATGCTGAAGATCCCATTTCCCTTTTTGTGGGGTTTGTAGTGTATACTTGTTGCAAAAGCGTCGTGTAGATTTTCCCGTCATACATCAAAACGTTATAAATGTCGTATACGAATTTATTGCTAATGAAAAGTAAGCAGTCTCGATTTGCCTCAATAAGTATGCTCCTGGGGTAGATTCCACGTGCTTAAATATACAACATGTTCGCTTTGATCCGATTTCATGATGTTATAATGATTTTCCGCAAATAATGAACAATTTTGCGACCAGAACGCGTTAAACTTTGATACATCATGATCTGCCAATGCTACGGAATCGTGTGAGGGTCTGAATGAGGATCTTTCATTTCTGTACTCTTTAATTTTTAAAGCCATTTTTCTATATTCTTTATTTGATTGGCCTATCATTCTCTTTTTTTTTAATTTTCAGATCTTTTATTCCGTATTTTTTCCCCATTATTCTCTATTCTGTAAAGCACATCCAGAACCCCCGCTCGATGCCCTTATATAACCTTTAATGTTTTCGCGACAATTAACTGTAAATTAACAGTAAAATTGAAATATTTTTTATATGAAACATCAAATGATCGCTAAACGTAAACAATTGTTTTTTTTGTTTGTTTGTTTCAGACGATAGCGAGCTCACATTTGGTTAAGTCAGTGTACAATGTTTGTACACTTTTTTCTTTTTATGAATATTTGGACAGTCTGCAGTTTCAAAGAAGAAGCAAAAGTTGACTTGAATCAGCTACTTAGTAAGTGTTAGCTTGGTTATGTGCAAAAGACATAAAGATATATACATGAATGACCTTGATTATACAAAAGACATAAAGATATATACATGAATGACCTTAATTGTACAAAAGACATAAAGATACATGAATAACCTTAATTAGACAAAAGACATAAAGATATTCTTTTGATTTAGTTAAGCCATGTCAATTGATATTTTATAGTGTGTCTTTCTATGTTGTGATGTTACACTATTGTTTCAGATAAGGGTGACGGTTTGGTACTAATAAGACGTTTAAACCCGCTGCAATTGTTTGCACCTGTCCTAAGTCAGGAATCTGATGTTCAGTAGTTGTCGTTTGTTGATGTGGTTCATGAGTGTTTCTCGTTTCTCGTTTTTTATATAGATTAGACCGTTGGTTTTCCCGTTTGAATGGTTTTACACTAGTAATTTTTGTGGCCCTTCATAGCTTGTTGTTCGGTGTGAGCCAAGGCTCTGTGTTGAAGACCGTACTTTGACCTATAATTGTTTACTTTCATAAATTTTGACTTGGATGGAGAGTTGTCTCATTAGCACTCATACCACATCTTCCTATATCTATATACATGAATGATTGGAACCTCTAATTTTGGGATGGCGTTTTTCGAGGACCGTCAATATAAGAAAAAATGCAGCTTATTTCACTTTTGTATTTGTTATTAGAAAAGCAATAAAAGTGAAGCAAGAGGTATTGTTTATGGTGACAATCTCCTTGAAAAAGGCCTTTGGCCGAAACGTTGGAATTTTGCAAAATGAATTGATTTGTATTTGTAAGACAAAATAATTATACATAGAAAAACTCTCAATTTTAAAATTGTGGATCTGGTAAAGATGTCCTTTTTAAACATTTTTTTATATAATTAATCGAATTTGCCGCAAGTCTGTCAAAATTGAAATGTTTAGTCATCTTTAGGTATCTATGATTTGGTCAAATATTCGGTAATACTTAAAGGTGGTGATGACCCTTTTATTGTTTTACATCATTAAAACGAAAATGTATGTATCAACACCATATCTTTTTTATAGAAAAATCTATGGATCTTTATTAGAGATTTGATGATTTTAAGACAAATCTAAAAGTGTTATTTTTTGCCGATTTCATGTGTTTTCTATACAAATGTTCACATACTTTGAAAGAATTCAGTTAGTAATATTTCAGAAAATAAAATAGATAAATGCATTATTTTGTTCGATTTTCAGTTGAAGTCCAACGAGCCAAAGTTGTGTGCAATTTTTTTTTTAACTTGGTGTATCTTGTTCGCTATGTTCGTGTCTGTAGTGACGTCTATATTTCCAATCTTGTTCGCTATGTGCGCGTCTGTAGTGACGTTTTACATTTCAATAAAGATAATCTATGTATAACGGATAAATTAGGTCAGGGATTTCGTTACCACCAGTTATTTTTAAAAGTTTTTACTCAATAATTTAATAGATACAATTATTTGGTTTGGAAATTTGACTGTACCTATGGAGACCGTGTTACAAACGGGATATCACAACCTGATTTTTACACTGATGTTGTTTATAGAGCCCGTAAATTTCGATACGATCTATATAAATTTATTGATTCTTAGAATAAATTATTCTGAAAGGTGACCAATTTTGCATTGTTATAAGATCTTTGAATTTTGTCTTCCACAGTACAAACATTATTTTTTTGTTTTAAATGTGTTAAACCTTAACTTATTATGTATTGCTATACATTTACAGTTACTATGAACAATTTTGGTCCCACATCCGGTCGATACTTTTAATTTGGCATTACACAAGGTCGTGCTTATTTCTTAACACTTAATCCGTAGGGCGTGTACTGATAGATATTTTAGTCTGATAAAACGTAGTTTTTAATTGGTTTTAACGTTGGCTTTGAACTAACTTTCAGTAACTACAAGTCTTATATCGGTACGTTTTATTGATTTTGAACTAACTGTCAGTAATTGCAAGTCTTATATCGGTACATTTTATTGATTTTGAACTTACTGTCAGTAACTGCAAGTCTTATATCGGTACGTTTTATTGATTTTGAACTAACTGTCAGTAACTACAAGTCTTATATCGGTACGTTTTATTGATTTTGAACTAAATGTCAGTAACTACAAGTCTTATATCGGTACGTTTTTACCTCGGTCCGTGCCGATCTGATGAGTCAAGCCTTTTCCAACTGGGTTTCTTGTTTTCACTCTTGATTTATTTTACATTTTGTCTTGCCGAAGCCTTTTATCATATAATGGTTACATATACGGTATGGGTTTTGCTCATTGTTGAGGCTTTACGGAGACCTATATATATATATATATAGATAGATAATTACATTCTCGTCCTTTAGTCTGTGGTGGATAGTTCTTCATTGGCAGTCATGGAACATTTCCATATTTTTAGACTGGACTTGGACAGTAATATCAATAACCTACAATATGACAGGCAATATTTATCTCTATAGGTATTATCAGTGGTTGTTCTTGTACATTTTAAGGGCATACGATACAGTTACAGGGGAGGTAATGACGTTGCTAACGTAAATTGTTATTTTCGCGACGTCAAACTGTGACTTATCGGGAAAAGATGCAGTTTTCGACTGATTTTTATCATTCAAACTGATTTAACTTGAAAACGAGTTCATGGACCCCTCTTTTTTAAAGTGACATTTGGTTTGATTACTTATGAAGATTATGTATACCAATTTTCATGAATAAGTCAATAGTGCAATTTTTTTTAATTTGATAAATATACAGCAAAAAATGACGTTATTTTTCTACATTCATGAACATTTGATAAATATGAGTTAATTGTAAAAATAAAATGTACAAATTTATAGAACATTTATATAAAAAAGAAATTACAAATAATTTAACAAAAAACAGCTTGTGTTTATCTTTTAAAACAAAAAAGTTATGTATTTCTGTCGAAAGGAAAAATACGTCCACACTCCACAAATCCGAATTTTGAGAAAATATCTGAAATTTCAACCTCAATTTACTCAAAAAGTAGCACATGATGGTATATTTTTTATTACATATTTGATTTAATCAGGTAAAAAATAGCCTATATGCAAATTTTCATCAAAATTTCAATATGGGATCAAAACTGTATCGTATGCCCTTAAGCATCCAAGTGTTTGACGTGTTTTTATAAGGGATTATTAGTGTTGTATTCAATGATTTGTATACTTAAACTATGATATTTTTTCCCAGGTGTTTTGAAAATTCTGAAGACACATTATGATCAGCTGAAAAACAATGTAACCGACCTTACTAAAACAGTTGCTGAATTAAAAAAGGAAAACGTTCAAATCAAAACTGCATGTAAATGTGGTGCAACAACTACAAATTCAAGTAATGTTAATGCAAAGAAGCCTACACCTACAAATTCAAGTATTGTTTATGCAAAGAAGCCTACACCTACAAATTCAAGTACTGTTGATGCAAAGAAGCTTTCCCCTAATAATAGCTCAACGAAGCCAACACCTACAAAGTCAAATACTGTTAAGCCAACAAAACAAGTATTGCCAGTGGTACCTGCTGGTAAGTGAACTATATCATTTATGTAAAAGGGGGACAAGGAAAATTTTAAATACGATATGATGACTGATAATGAAAAATGCAAATACTCTATAAAGAAGATATATAAATGTTTCCTGGACATAGATAAGCAAAAAATATATGTAAACATTATTATACTATGATTACAAACTGCTTCCTTGTCTCCTAAAATTACACGCTTATTTCCAAATACTTTACTATAATGTAGTCGAGCTCACAAATTCCTTATACCTATTATGTGGATCATAAATGTTTTCTTCCCTAAAAGTGTGACCCTACACAGAGGCTCAAAAGAAACAAAATCTTTGTTATTTTGATTTGATTTCTATGTTTTTTTACAAAGTATGATCAACAATAAGTTAAACAGCCATAACATATAATCAGTAAAGTTATTACCATTGTTCTACATCCAGAAACAGTGAGTTCCGTCCACAACCAGTTTATGATCCGAAAATCCACACGATTCAAGAATATTAAAACATTTATAAACAATCGAACGAGGTTTGAATAAAAAAGATTTCAATCTGATTAAAATGCATATCTATATTAACTCGCGTGCTTGTATATTCAACTCATATGAGGATATCGAAATCAGAGATCTATATTTTAATTAGATTGAAAAGATTTTAAAGTTTGTTACGAATAATGAATATCAACGAAACAACTTGACAGATGTCCACTAAAAAAAGTGTATTCGATTAACTGTTCATTATCTGTTGTTCAAATCATGTATCAATAAAACTAAGGATTGTGATCTGCATGTATTGTTTATGGTCCAATTCCATATAGTGAAGAAGACACTATTTTTCGCCTAATTATTTTCAACTACCAAAGAACAGAGATAATTGTCAAAAAAGATTAATAATAAAGACTAAATGGAAATTTTACTTATCTACTAGAGCACACCCGCGGGTTGGTGGCTGAATTAAAGTACCTATGCCTTATTTTTTGTATTCGTATTGTCATCTGATAAAGTAATGCTGATTGTAAGGTGCACAGTTTTCTCTGCTTTCAAAATCGTTCTGTTTGAACCCGTCCTGGTTTTCTTATTACAATAAACTTACTATAAAATAACTTTTTTTTTTAACTAATTATCCAAAATTAATAGTGGTATTTAGGTGGAAGAAAACAGACCTGATAAAAAGTGTACTATAGTGTAACATAGATATAAAACAACCACTGGAAGAATTCCAGGTTATCCTAATAGAGGAGGGGTTTACTGAAGGTAACAGATAACAACTACCGGAAACTACATGTGACATATACTATTGGTATCGGTATCGGATTCGACCCGGAACTTGTAAAATTATTGGTAATTTTAATTATGTGTAAAACAAAAGGGCCTGGAATGGTGTAATTTTTAAACAACACCATTGTCCTATATTAGTTATATATAAAGTTATATTCTTTGATTCGTCGTTTTTACGTCATGCCGGCTAACAAATTGGACCTCGTTATGTTGGTAGTATACTGATACAGTAAACATGGTAAACGTCTGTTTACGTTTGTGACATTTACACATAAAAAAAAATCTCGTCTCATCGCTTGTAAATGTTAGTCTGGTTTTATACATAAAAGGAAATAATAATTGTCTGCTTTTTTCAACAGCCACTAATTCTCAACCTGCACAGCTACGCAAAGCGGTAGGATTTACTGCCGCACTAACTAGTGTTATAAGTCTCGGGCAGCACCAACCTGTTGAATATGATAAAGTTATTACAAATGTTGGAAAGGGTTTTGATGCCCGACATGGACATTTTGTAGCACCAGTTAAAGGACTGTACATCCTGTCAGCAACAATACTAAACAGTGAAGGTAAAGAAATGCATATGGAGATGGTAAAAAACGGAGTTCAGCTCGTCGCTTTCTATGCAGATCCAGATGATTATTCTATGGGAAGCCAAACAATTGTATTATCACTTAAAGCCAACGATATGGTATGGATAAGACATTGCCGTGTAAAAAGACCCTCACCTATTTATGGGAAACCAGACCAACCAATCAACACTTTCTCTGGTGCTTTAATAGTACAGTTTGATTAAAATAAAAATTAACAGTCATTGATCACGATGTATAGATTATATCTTATTGAAATCATTTTCATTCATATAGCACATATAACAGATCTCAAATAGAGCACATCATTTGTATTATTCCACTGTTTAAGCATATTGATAGTTTAATCAATATTTGATTGGTTGAGGCTATCCCATGTGTCATTGAACAAATCTTCATATTCCATTCTGAGGATCATATTCCCCTCTGAAATGTCGGGATTACTTCGTGCGACGTTACGCGCGGTTAATGTACATAACGTTTTGAACTTCTTATTCTTCTTAAAATAGCGATAGCAAAAATCATTATCATGTTCAAATTTATTTCAGACGATAAAACAAAAAGACTTATTATTAGATTTTGATCCTTACTGTTTATCAATGGGTATGTCGTGTTTAGTTTGACTTACAAAAACAAGCGGATAAGGAAAAAAAATGTATGCAAAATAATATTAAATGTATTGATAGTAAACAAAGCATAGGCAGTGGAATAAAACATTAATTTTCCTTTGCCTCGGGAGATATTATAAGTTATCTACGTTCATATCCGTAGATATGGATATTTTAACACCCTGAAGTATCCAAGTACACCCTGAGGCGGAGCCGAAGGGTGTACAGGGTACTGAAGGGTGTTAAAATATCCATATCTACGGATATGAACGTAGATAACGAATTTATCCCAGGCCTCAGTCCAAATCTTGCGATTTTTAGAGAAATTCAACCACAAAATGTAACGTGAAAGCAACGTTTTTTTCATTTTTTAAAAATCTTTTATTGAAATTTGGGAATTTGACATAGTTTTAACGGGGTGTAGGGTGGTAGAACCCTACAGGTAGTCAAATATAAGACGTTTTTAATCCAGAGAGACAGAGAAACTGGAATGGGTCGAATTTGGCGCTCAATGTTGTGAGAGTTATATCATAGACGATGTGACGTCAACGTGGGTCATTTGCATAGCTAGGTCAGTAGTCCCATTCATTGACAATGTGGCAGCCAAGTGATGCATTTACTAAAATGAGTGCAAATGATCGACGTAATAAGATAAAATCGTTAGGTGATTAAATATTTAATTACAGACATCATGGATAATCTACAGAATTCGATATTTCACAAGGAACAACCGTGGAACTAAGGAAAACGCGCGTGATGTTCCCCGTTGTAATGAGTAGCAACGTCCTGGTATATGGGTTAGCAACACCCAGAGGCTATGGGTTTTGTAACGACGTGCGTTAACCAATCAAAATCCTAGAAATTTACTAAGCCGGGGATAAGAAGATTTGCTCACCCTCGAAAAATCATATTTCCCTCGGGCAGAGGCCTCGTGAAATATGAATATTCTTGGGTGAACAAATCTTCATATCTCCCTCCGGCACGGGAAATAAATGTATAATATTTAGTTCACGTTTATTACATTTAAACTGTTTTTTTTATATCTGTTAACCAAGAGAATTAAATGACCAAATGTACACTGTGTATCATCGCCACCGGAAATTGGGTACTAACGAAGCGGAGATAAATGGGGAAAAAAAAGTAAACAAGGTAAGAATTCATTCAATTTAAAGCATTTCTACTGATTTGACGAGGATACCGCTTAAGAAATGATTTTCTGATATATAATTCTTTAAATTATTAGGCCGATAAGTACAAAATTAAGACAAGATTTTGTGTTATACACAAGAACTTGCCCCTTAGTACCTGAAAATTTCGAGGTCGATCGTCCTCTGTCGCCCCATTGGCAAGATATTCAACTGTTTTTCATTATTTTTCCACACTTTTTTAGATTATTATAGTGTGGCATCATATTTACTGAAATTTGTTGTCAAAATGAACGTTTTTAAAGAAAATAGACCATAAAATATAAAGTCTAGGGTACGGCAACTTGCTCATGTTGACAAATTTACTGTATGGCAACTTGTTTTCAACTGTATGGCAACTTGCTAACTTCAAAATATTTATTTGCCGTATTTTTAAAGAAAATAAAGTATAAGGTTCAAATATCTAATTATGCATTTGATACAATTCGCTTGACACCATTTAAGATATATACACAATATAAGGCTTGAACACAGTCCTATTACATCTTTTACATACCTGATGTATACAATATGAATACGGCATATACAAAAGCTGGCAAATGTTGTAACTTTCGGAAAGGCATGTCACTGTTTTACTGACCTGTTGTTCTGCCCTGACGTAGCGTTAAATGTTACCCATGTCCGTCCGACCCGTCTCTCCCGTCCGCCCAGAAAGGCCAAATAATTGGTTTCCGTTCTCTAACTTTAGTATGCCTTAACAAATGTTTTAAAACTTACACGAAATGCTTATCACCACAAAACACAGATCAAGTTATAAATTGGGTAGCGTCACTGATACCGTTCTTGAGTTATGCCCTTTTATAAATGAAAAAAAGCTAAAGCTGTCGTTTCTATTCTAAAACTTTAGATTGCCTCAACCAAATGTTTTAACCATACAACAACATTAGTCAGCATTTGCATATAAGTGATGAACATTTCGGGGATGGGTTGTGGGTGGAGGGAAGGAAGGAGGTAATGACAGGAGAATTTTTCCGCATTGAATATTTAGAACCATTAAGTGAATGAATTCTCTTTCAACTTTCAGATAAAATGAAATATAAATGAATTATCATTCTCTGCAAAAAAAAATGTTGTATTGCTACACCACGGCACCATGTTAAGGGAGGTTTGAGTGCTCACAAACATGTTTAAGCCCGCCTCAATATATATGTGTCTGTCCCTGGTCAGGAACATGTAATATAGCGGCGGTCGTAAGTTGCTGCGAAAGTCCTCTCAGTGAAAACCATTCCACGTCTCCTTTTTCAATTAATGTTATTGTCTTATTTGTAAAAGGCAGATACAGCCAATATATTAGAATAAAGAACATTAATTTTCTAAAAAAAAAACTTCATCTCTATATAGTAAGAAATGGACAAGCTCGGTGGCTAACACTGTTTAAATTAAAAAAAATATTAACCTTAGATTAATCAATTTTGGAAAGAATGAAAGAAGAATCCGATACAAGGGATACAAATCCGGCTGTGGCTACGGCATAAACTATTTATATAAACTTTCTACTTGAGAATATAGATGACCTTGTATGAAGTTTTTTTTGGTTGTCATCCTAATATTATATACTTATTAATACAATTCACAAATGCTAGCATCTTCGACTTGTAAGTTTAAAGAATTATAATGAAATAACATCTAATAAGGACAGGTTGAAATATTTTGAATCCTGATGGTGCATACTCATAAATTCTTTTGGAAAAATCCACGTAAATTCAAATGTTGATTTGATAGCGTTCATTTATTTTCCCTCGTAAACAGTTTTGTTTAAATACCGAAATCGGTAAATTCTTATCGTGAACGAATAAGTGGGGTACACCTTTTTACATTCAGGCGTGCTTAAGTTGCACTTTTTTCTTCTTATTAAGAAAAATGATTTTAATTTTAGCATCTATCTAAAGATTAGATTATTTACACACACACACACACACAAATAGGGCTTACTGTTGATTTTGAAACTCTATGAATTCACATTTATATTCAACCAAACAGATAGGCTGAGATCCATTCCTTTATAAGTTTCAAAACAGAGAAAGTGTGTTTGAAAACAAATAATCACGTACTGCTATGTCTTTTAAGGCAAATGCAAGTCTTACTTGTATTAATTATATAATTTTAATTGGCACAATATCACATTAAAATTTACTGAGAAATATTATACGTAGTAATCATGAAAATGTACTACTGTAACAATGAAAATTCGGACGAATACACTCCTTTTCACTACCCCTCCATCTACTCATTTAAGTTAAAAGGCCAAACAGCCTTAGCAACAGTCTTTTATTATTTTCTCCCTGTAAATAAAAAGATTGATTGAATTTACTTAAACTAAAAAAAAAAAATACAATCTTATTTTCAATAAGAAACAAGAAAATTAATTCGAAACACAATTCATGATTTATTTCTACTAATTTTCAATGAAAACAAAGTATTTCTTCACTTTTCTTTTAACAAATTATTCATTTCAGAAATTTAAAAAAATAAACAATAAACAATGTTGAAGACCGTACCTTGACCTATAATGGTTTACTTTCATAAATTGTGACTTGGATGGAGAGTTGTCTCATTGGCACTCATACCACATCTTCCTATATCTATTTAACTCAGCATTCTTTATGTGTCTGTCCGAAGCCACGAGCCTGTAGTTTGGTGGTTGTCGTTGGTTCATCTCTATCATATTTGTTATTTTTCGTAAATTGTTTTGTTATGAGTTAGGCCGTTAGTTTTCTTGTTGAATCCTTCCACAATTTTCATGTCGGGGCTTTTTATAGCCGACTGTAAGGTAAGATTTTTCGATAGCATATAATTGCTTACATACACTTTATTTGACCCTGGTCGATAGTTATCTTATTTGCAATCATACAACATCTCCACTGTTTATATTTAAAAAAAAAACAAAAACAGCACCAACAAAAGATGAATGGTCGGTTTTTTTATTGAACTTACAAAATTTCACCCTGACAACAAATAAGACAACAGTCGTTAGTATTATAACGATATATGAATGTATTTAGGATAATATGGTTGAAAAAAACCTTTTTGTCTTTAAAAACACAAAGTCAAATAGAGGTACGCAACGACGACTTCTGAACGAAATTAACGGCATATATTTTATAATATTTGATAAGTAGTTTATTTTGTATATTTGTAAGCCGGTAAAGCTTTGATACAGCCAAAATTTCGTCACTTGATATTATCTAAACAGTGATTAATTTCATCTTTAAATTACAATATATTGCAAGACGCCGTACAGCCAAAAGTTGTTATTTTGCAATTCGCCGTATAACGTCCTGCAATTCGCCGTACAATAAACAAACAATGTTTTGGTCCATATTCTTTAAAAACATCTTTATGACAACAGATTTCAGGCATTATGATGTCACATTATCATAATCTAAAAACGTGTCTGGAAAAATAATGAAAAACAGTTGAATATCTTGCCAATGGGGCGACAGAAGACAATCGACCTCGAAATTTTCAGGTACTAAGTGGCAAGCTTTGGAGTATAACACAAAATCTTGTCTTAATTTTGTACTTATCGGCCTAATAATTTAAAGAATTATATATCAGAAAATCATTTCTTAAGCGGTACCCTCGTCAAATCAGTAGAAATGCTTTAAATTGAATGAATTCTTACCTTGTTTAATTCTTTTTCCCATTTCTCTCCGCTTCGTTAGTACCCAATTTCCGATGGCGATGATACACAGTGATGTAGCTTACCGATGTTAAAATGTCATTAATCCATTTTGAATATATACAAATATAATTGATTGTTTGACGATTGCTTTTGAGCGTCCAATAGCGGACTAATATATCCGAGAGTTTCTAGTCCACAATCCCATCAAAGGATGATAGCCATGAGATGAGATGAAACAAAGAAACTTCCATCGAGTTGAAATA